TAGAATATGAGGAATTTTACCTTCATGTTTCTTACACGCGCCCATAGGAAGCTTTATTATCATATATCTTTATATTATGATCCTGAATTGATGATATTTGCCTTTCTCCACGTCAGATATTCTCACATGATTAATGCTGGATCGTCGAAGTGAGGTATGCACAGCGCAAACAGTAGGGATTACAAGACGTGAAAGTTTGTGAAGATGGTATATTAATACAATTATTCGCTTCCTGGACATTGTCTTTCTTGCTGTGTTTTGTTTAAATACGACGTTTCTGAGACAGAGTCGTCTACCAAACGTCGTTTTTAAACAAATAACAGGAGGATGGATATTGTCCAGAAAGTTGATAATTATATGAGTAGGAATGATGTCCATTGGCAAGATCTTTCTACAAAGGTTTCACTAAAATATATCTTGTCTTGAGGAAGTTAGCTATTAAGCTAACTCATACCTAACATATATCTCCAGATAAGACTGCTTTTCCTATCGGAAACAGGCTTAAGATGTGCAATGACGCTTAAAAATAAAAAAAAATCTATGATTAAATTTTACATATTTCGATCACTAATGCCAATGAAAGAACTTCATATGATCTAAGAAATTTGTTAGCGAATAAAATTTACTCCTTCTAAAACCCAAAAGTTCATTCCGCTAACACGTATCATATCTTGCTTGGTTTATATCTGATAAAAGAGTGATATAAACGTCACGGAATTCTTTGTATCATATCTTACGTTCCCTGATTAGTTCATGCCCCAGTTTCTTGCTTTTAAGCAAATAGACCACTGTAGGTCGCGGTGCAAGGGCCGAGAAGGCCCATCCCTTATACAGTCATTCAAGTTTCTTGCTTTTGGGGTTATCTAACGGCTGTGTCAGTATCCAGACTGTGTAGCTTCGGCTGGTAGGATGATTTATAAATGTTAATTGGGAGAGGACTAAGGAAACCCACGAAGTACCTCAGTCAGGATAGCTGGCGTCACGTCAGACATTCGAACCGAGCACTTCCTAGATACAAACCTAGAGAGTTACTTCTAGATCAACCTGTTCTGTTTCATACTTCATTAACTTAATCTTTTATTCCACTTTCGGTTATAGTTTGGAAATCGTGTTTCGTAAAGCGGTAACTCTCTAAAGGGTTTTAAAAATATGCCTAATTTAAGTGGAGTTATGTTAATTAACGTTCAGTTTTGTGTATCTTGCTTAAGTTACACTGTTTAATGTGTATTTACTTTTCTCCCTTCGTACAAGCAAGCTCATCATTGTATCAATGTAATTAACAAAGTTTCTTCCCAAGACTTATAAAATTAAATTCCTTTAGACGAGAAACTGATATGACGAGGATAATTAATTGCATGAAGGCTTCCTACGCTGATGGATGAGCATAATAGAACCGACTAAAGCATCAGTGGTTTGCTTTAAAAAACAGAGTTTCGTCAGATAAAGAGAAATGCCAAGCACGCTTACAACGGTTGTGATAATGTAATGTCATTGTACTATACTGTTACTGGTGGCAGTAAACTGCCACAAACGGCTTTTGGAGGTTGGGTGTAAAGTAACACTTGTCCTAGACTCCCCCCCCCTCTTTCTATTATAATAGGGGGCGGAATATTGCAAATTTATAATTGAAAAATTAAACACAAAGTGATCTTCACCATGAATTCTTGCAATGGTTCGCTGGCCATTTGACATGACACAACATAATAGAACAGTCTTTAAGTTCTTGTAAGTGTCCATGATATTTTTTTAGCTCATCGAGGCCTGAAATTCATCTGAATAATTTCTGAAGTTTCAGTTCCTACTTCTCCATTGCAAAGACCAACCGGTCACTTATGTTTGTGAAAATAATCTCTGTTTGCTCCGAGAACCACATCAAACTCATAAACACACACTGTGGGTAGAATGCACAGTTTTCCGTTGTTAAAGCAGGTGGTGCATATAGGTACCACGATCTCTTACATGTCCCTGACATTATATGAACAAATAATGGAAATTCCAGGATAAATATCTTAGGATCACGTCATCTTATGGATCTTGATATAGGAATATAATTCCATAAATGGAACATCGTGATAACATCAATTCTATCACCTAAAGCATAGTACAATATGATAGGATATACCCAAGTACTATTTTGTGTTAAGCAGCGTGCATGGTGTCTACATGATTATGGGGAAATGACAAATGAATCTTGTAATTTTACCTGTTGTTTTATATTGTGGCATGTAGACTGTTGCTAGGCACCGACCGAGAAACAAACAAGTAGACAACGAAAATCCTTATTAGAATCCGTGGCAACACAACAAGAGACGGTTGAGGTCAGTATTGCCTTAGCTACATGTTTCGGCTTTTAAAGCTATCATCAGGCAAATACATAGTTATTACACTCACAAACTATTGAAATGCATTTCAATATGATGGTACAATAGTGCTGGATACTTGACAGATATGTTACACTATAATAACACAAAGTATAAAAATACAATAAAATTATAAAATCAGTATAAAAACGAAAGTTATACGATTAAAAATATGGTTAAAACTATTCATGTAATATTTCATATTATGTTCATGTAATATTTCATATTATGAAGTCTGTTGTTGCAGTCATATTGTTGTATTCCAGCGGACATATAGCGGTGTTATTCTTGCCCTGTACACGTATGGAATGGTTAACTGCTTGGAGGCCCCTGGTATTGTTATTTAGTATTTATTGTTTTACCGGTGCCTGATTTTACGTGTCCGGTAGGATATTGGTTGGAAAGCCAGAAGGAAAGAGACCACTCGGGATACCAAGACGTATGTGGGTGGACAATATTAAAATGTATCTTAGAGAGACAGGATGGGATAGTATGGATTGGATTGATCTGGCTCAGGATAGGGACCAGTGGAGGCTCTTGTGAACACGGTAATGAACCTTGGGGTTCCATAAAATGCTGGGAAATTCTTGAGTAGCTGCACAATTGGCGGTTCCTCCAGAAGGGCTCAGCTCCATGAGTAAGTAAGTAAGTAAGCAAGTAAAGAAGTAACTAAGTAATGTCCGTTCTGGTTAGAAGACAGACTGCAACTCGAGTTGCAGTCCGGTCAAACAATAAATACTAAATAATACCACGGGCCTCCAAGCAGTTAACCATTCCATACGTGTACAGGGCAAGAATAACACCGCTATATGTCCGCTGGAATATGACAATACGACTGCAACAATAGACTTCATAATATGAAATATTACATGAATAGTTTTTAACCATATTTTTGGAGGTCTAGGTGCAGGGGCCGAGAAGGCCTGCCCCTAATACATTCATTCAACCATATTTTTAATCGTATAACTTTTCTTTTATTTTTATACTTTGTATTATTATAGTGTAACATATTTGTCAAGTATCCAGCACTATTGTACCATCATACTGAAATGCTGTTTAATAGTTTGCGAGTGTAATAATTATGTATTTGCCTGATGATGGCTTTAAAAGCCGAAACATGTAGCTAAGGTAATATTGACCTCGATCGTCTCGTTGTTGTGTTGAGACTAATTTTATTAAGGATTTTTGTATAATAAACACAACAGGATGCACTCAATGAAGACAACTAGACAACGGCCGTTAGTAGGCAACTTCCCATAAATAACAACAGAGGAACGGTGCTTTCAGTGCAATACGTGCCGAGATGTAATAAGCAAAACAGTTAATTAGAGAACTGCTGAGGTTCAGTCGTTGTGAGAAGCTGGTAGCTGAGGCCGGAGGTAGCTCGGGCATCCAGAGGAAAGGGAACGTCCGCCGTTGGAAGCCGATACCGAGCAACGGCTAGTGAAGACATGACTGTCAACACTAGTGTGTGTGTGTCTGTGTGTGTGTGTGTGTGTGTGTGTGTAATAATGAATCGTAAAGTGTAGTCACTCGCTGTCAAAAAGAGCCCAATAAATCCGATCATCAATTCAAAGCCCGTCTCTAGTCACTCATACATGTGACAATATGGATATGAATCCAGAAAAGAGTACTGAGGAAAATATATGGACTGAGAGGGACGAAATGAGAAGAGAATTGAGAGACTTACAGTCCACGGCACGAAACCGTAAGATATAGTTTCGGCATTGTGCTGTTAAACAAAATAACGACTCAAAACTACAAAAGATGTCATCTGTCATAAAATAATCCTCTGGATTATGTACATTGGTAGATATACACGCAGTTGTTCTCTTCTGCCACAGTTGGAAGCATTTCTGGACCGCGTCTTCTAACATCGCCTTTAGTGCACGCGACGTGCGCTATTCAGTCTCTCAACGACCGAAAGTACGTCACTTTCAGCGTTATAATTTGGAACAGAAAGAAATTTCACAGAGGCAGAACAGAAGAACAGACAAGATGTTCCATCAGAAGTAACCGCTTTTGCGTCAGAGATTGCTTCACCGATACAGCAGCATGAGCTGGTGTGCCGTCTTGGTGCAACACACACTCGTACGGTCACTAGCCACACCTCACCATTACCTCCAACCGCTGTAGATATTCAAGTTTAGTTTCTTCTTGGAGCAAAAATCGCATTTATATCAAAACTGCATGATCAGGAAAGCATGGTCTTGAATTTTTAATTACTTATCCTTATAGACCGTGCCATAACTCGGGTGGTTAGCACCGGTTTCCTGCTGTGGCGTCCCGGGTGATGGACAAAGTGGCACTGGGGAAGGCTTTCTCTGAGTAATTCGGTTTCCTCTGCCATTTCTCATTCCACAAAATGTTCCATCATCCGGGGCTAACCAAGTGGACTCAGTCTCTCACCCCCCCCCACACACGAAACTTAAAAAAAAATAAAAAATAAAAAAAAAACCGGCTACGTATGAGTGACGAATTCATGAAAGCTGTAGTCAATTGCTGCCTCAAGATTGGAACTTGGGATTTCCCGGCGAAGTGGGAGTGTTAACAACTACGACACTGCGGAAGCAAACCAATTTATATTTTGCTTTTATCGCTGAACTTTTGATAAACCATTGATGTGTTTATTTCTTTCAGCGGTGCGTCGTTGTGCAAGAAGTGTTTCCAGAGGGTCTGGTATCTCAAGATGGTCGCCTCAGGCCTGGGGATCAGCTCATAGAAATTAATGGCATCGATATGACAACTGCTTCACATCATCAGGTTAGTTAGAAGCTGTATATAGGCCCATTACACACAGAAAATAAGCCTATATATCATTCATTTTGTCTGAAATAGTGAATTTCCAGTAACAAGCAATTTTCCTGATAGGTAATTTTGGGCCTGTAAGATTTTTACCGCAATACAATAATGGATTATATAACTCCTGATCTAACATAAGAAGCTCCAGCATATGGATCTGTCGGATACCATATGTCTTTTTGCGTTGATCTAGGAGTTTGTTACAATGAAGAGAGACTAGTGAAAAAACAATTTCATACCATTTATAAGAACATTTAACCGACACATATTTTACTCAGAACGTGTTCGAAATAAGAAAAAAACACATGACTCACGACTTTCGGTGTTTGCCGTGGAAATGAGAGGAGAAGTGAGGAAAGTGAAAGGGATCGAAAATATTCAGCTTATCTGCTCTTACCAGGTGGCAGGTGCTATTTTATTTTGGTTCTGACTCCTGTGGCAAAAACAGAGTGTGAAAACTTTATAAGTATTTTGCTTTCTGGATTGTCTCAAAATGAATGCTTCTCTGACTATGGATTTTCGGTTGTGGGAAAATGGTCAAGAATCTGACTCAAATGTCCTCCAAAATCTTAGTGATCTACACAACATAGCTTCCTGGAGGATAGCATTCCTCAGAGTCACTGAAATCAGAAACCCATATCTTGATTCAATTATGATTATTCTGGTACCAGATATTGTGTGCAGCATAGTGGCTTATATTTGGGAGGACCTTAAATGAGAGGTTGGCATAGAGAGCCTCCTTATCTCAGCAGACTTTTTTTAATGGTTTTCCATAGCATCTCACGTACTTTCTCCAATAAAGGGCATTGCTAAATAAACAAAGAACAACAACGAATAATAGGGGAAAATGCTTCCAGATTTTGAGAGTCTGTCTTCAGGATCTTCATCTGAAGTTTCTTCCATAATAATAAATTGCTACAATCCAAAAGACTCAACAATGAATACTTTGTCTTAGTCAAGGATATTATATTCAGTCCTTTTATAAGGTAAGCAAGAACGGAAATAAAGAGAGAAATCCTTCAATTTATTTACTGTGCAGATACTTCATTTTTCTGGAATGAACACAGTCTATGACAATAAAGGACAGTCTGTGTTGGATTTGAGGTTATCACAGTGGTGGCACTTGGCTTACTCCTCGACTCTAAAATGGAGGCAATATGTTCCTTTGGAATGTTGGTTGTCTTTCACCGAACTACACAGCATTCATCCCTGAAGACAGAATTCTTCAAGGACTGTCTAGGGTAACCCTTGAGCAGGCACACTGATGTATAGCATATACCATTTTTACTAATTATAATGTGGCAACACTGCTATATGCCTGACATTTCCCTTCCACTCTTCCTTTTAGTATCTTTTTTACTGTTAATTGAGGTAGGTGTTATTGTTGTTAGTGCAGCTGGACCATCACCAGAGAACGCGAATGGAATGGAAGTTATTTTTTGTATACTCAATATTCCACACGCCTGGTCATGTAAGTAATTTAACATTGTATATTTTGGATGTTTAGTTTTATTTTTACACATTGTAACAACACAATTTTCACATTGTAACACCTATCGAATATTGTGGTCAACTTGAATGAAATAAAGAGGATGGCTAGATTTTTGTGCTTATATTGATATAATAGAAGATATCTTTGTGTTGTTCTTTTAGAGTATGTAATATAAAATTGTGAGAATATGTCAAGAAGACTAAGGTAACGAGACTATGGACAGCAATAAATCTCAAAAGGAATAGGGAATTACTACCAGAAGCAATCATGGAATTGAATATGAGCACAATGACCTAGTAACTTCAGGGAATGATAATCTACTAGCAGTTTGGACCTACAGTAAAGACTTGCACAGTTGATAAAATTTAAAGTGTATTTTGTAGCTTGTGTCACACAGCAGTGGCCAATGACAGAGTCCTTTTAACAAATGAACATGGTGGAAATCAATGCACAAGTTCTTTAATATTCCAGTGCAGAAAATCCCAAACAATAGGGAAGAAAATTTTTTAACCATTTATCAGTGTCACCGAGGAAGAATTATTCTATTCAAGGGGTCAAAATAAAGTCATTCCCGATTGAAGTGAGAGCATCCTTTCAAAATGCTGAGAAACCACTGAAGATGAAGGAAGTATGCATGGAATACTGTCGAGAAATATTTGTGGAAGCTTTGAGAGCGAAACATGTGAACACAGCTACAGAATGTAATTTCTGCAGTCAATTTTCTTGCAAACAATACAGAAATAATGTACAGTAGTAGTGACAGAGAACATTATGTTAATAGTTCAGCCTATATATTCATTGAACTATAGAAAAGTTCAAGTGGCAATTACTTTTATTCTTTCAAACTGTATGTGAACTCTACTCTTAACTGAAGAGTTATATCTTCTGGGATATAGCACCATGTAGTCTGTTGAAAGTCAGCTGATGTTTCAGAGGAACATGTCACCATCACTGGAGATGAAGGTGACATATTTTTCTGAAGTGTTGGTTGACTTTCAGTGCACTATGCAGTGTTATATCCCATTAGATATAACTCTTTTATAACCACTGCTGTGAGAACCTCAAATCATCTACTGTTTTTTAATCACAAAATAACCACCAAGTCTGTATTTAATGATACATTCATGAGTTACTCTGTAAACCCAAAGTGGTGTACAAAGTACACCATACTTGTATGCTTATTGAAGTAAAATTTCAGGGCATGTCTGCTCAAGGAATAATAAGCCTGCTCTAATTTGTGTTTAGTATGAAATTTACATCATGTCTTCATTTGAACTTTTCATTTTCAGACATGTCAAGCCTTAAGAAAACTGAGTCCAGTTTTACGTCTTGGAGTGTATCGTGAAAGAATAGAAGCATACAGTGCCCGCTCATCAGCCCACTATATAGAAGGTAACTTATACACTTAGTGTTGTATGTGACTGCATAGCTGAGTGATATGGGAGAGATCTTACTTACTTACTTATGGATCTGAGCCCTTCTTGAGGAGAAGCCAAATCTGCAGCTACTCAAGAATTTCCTAACATTTTATGGAACCTGAAGGTTCATTACCATGTTCACAAGAACCCTCCACTGGTCCCTATCCTGAGCCAGATCAATCAAATCCATACCATCCCACCTCAAGGAGAGATCTTACCACTTTGAAGTATATCTTACTCTCTACTTTTATCTTTCCCAACTACTTACTTAAATCACCTTTTAATTTCTGTTAAATGATAGCTTATATCATGGGCCTTTCCTGTGATTTCTCAAAATTTTTAATGAATAACTAATTCTCAATACTCTTATTAAAAAGGATTACTTAGAAAAGTTCTACATCAGAAACTTGATTTGCATAGAATAAAAATATATGACAATGAACATATGACAATAATATTAACCAGAGCTTTGCCTTCAGCTAAGGGTGATATGGAATATTCTTCCAAACATGTCCTAAAATCATTACCAAATTTCACCCTGTCATACACCTGAAATATAATTAATCATGTAATCTGCATATTATTTAACAAGTAAGGTGAAATGCAGCAGCACAGACAGGCAGTCTGTATCATACTTTTAAGAAAAACTCATTAAGAACTACATTCACATCTGTAATTTTTAACTTTCATTTCAGTTTTCTGTTTTGTGTATATTAAAAGAAAATTGTTTTAATGCTCATATAAAGTAATTATATCTGACTAACATTCTTATCTATCTACTGAAATTATTTGATTATCCATAAGTCCCCGCACCTGAATTTGATAGCTTAATAGCCACCTAGTAAATATTAATTGGTGAATGAGGGATGTTGAAATACCACATTCACATTGGTGAATGAAAAGTATAAAATAGTAAGCAGTACACCTTATTATATACAGAGATCCACACAGTGACTTTGGAGCGACAGACCAACCAACAGCTTGGTGTCCGTTTGAGTGGTTGGTGGATGGAGCAAGGTATCTTCATCCTGGAGATAATTCCAGAAAGTCCTGCAGCAAAGAGTGGCAAACTTGAACCATATGACCGCATTCTTTCTGTCAATGGGGAGGAGGTAGTTAGTTGCAGATTGGATCAGGCTTCAAGACTCATTCAGGTATGCTGCATGTATCAAATGTGTCAATGCTGAGCTAAGTATTTCTTATTCAAGGTAAACTTCAATACTCTCTATCCTCATAAATAAAAGTAGAGTTATGATAGTGGTTTAGATTGTTTCATCATGACTGGAAAGTACGAGATTACATCTTCAACATACAATTGGGTCCCAAATCGCCATTCTGGAGAACTCACTGGACATACAGGACTCTTCTTCCATAAGGTTGCTTATTCAAGGCATCAAGTACCCTGAGAGATATTTTAGTCAAAATACACAGTTCAGTGATCTATCTGTATGCAAAATGTTAAGTAGTACACACTGATACACACATACCTCAAAATTATTAAATATAAACCTCAAAGGTTCATGCCTTTTGCCATATTCATATTTTTAGGAGGAAAGAGAAGTTTTATGAAATTAGTGCATTTGTTTATAATCCAGTGTGGTAAAAGTTTTCACATGTTTGCCTAATATTACCTTATTCTCTTGAGACTTTAGAGTAATAATAGAGTCACCATGGTATGTTATTGGCTTGTCCATGAGTAGTCCAGTCAGAGGATTGATATTTTAAAACCTGCAGAAAGGTTTCTGCAGGACATTCCCTCAAGAATAGACATAATGGTTGCCTGCCATGACTCAATAACCAGAGGCTTTCATGTAACAGCAGAACTTTAAGTTAAAGCCAGCATTAAGGTAGAAAATTCTTTATGTTGTGCAGTGATATAAACTCCCCAACTTAACAGTGAAATGCCCACTATCAGGAATAAGACATCAAGACAGCCACTAAAAAAAATAACTTAAGTAAACGAATTAAAATGCTCATAAGTAAATAAAGTATAACAATTTACTAATGTGACCACTGAGACTGCATTCAGGTTACAATGAATTTCAAGTCAGGTGTGAAGCTTGTTGTGTTATGTTAATGTGAGATTTAAATCTATCAGCTGACTTTGGTGTGTAGATTTACCTTCATCACTGAGAAAGCTTGTTCATACATGTGCTTCCAAAGAAGTATGTACAACCAGCTGCCTTCTACTGCAGATTTGGATAGTTGTCTTCAGGATGACAACTATAAAATTTAAGCAAAGCTCTTTCTTTAAGTTCGCCACTGCTGTGTAGTTTGATTAATTGAAGCTGTAAAGTGGATTCACTGACTTCTTATGATGCTTCAAAAGGGTTAGCGAATATTCTGAACAATGCACTGTCTTGTTCAAAGTTCATAAATCTGTCTGTAAATAACTGATGAAGGTGTTCAATATGTTTGACATATTGGTCATTATTTTCCTTATACTGTTGAAGTATTTTCTGGCAGTTTGGAAAGCTATTGAGAAGTTGTGAATAAAATAATGATAATTTAATTCCGAAAGCTTATACACCATTGTGGCTATGGGCTGGAAGACAGAGGGGAGTCCAAGTTCCAGTAGGGTCAAGAATTTTCTATTCTCCACTTTATCCAGGAAGGACAGCTTCCTATCCAGTGGGTACCAGGGCCTCTTTCCCCAGCAGTAAAGTAGCCAGGTTATGAAGCCCACCACTCACCTTCAACTGGTGCTGAGGTCAAGAAAATGTGGATATATACGTCATTTTATGATGTAGTGCTTAATTAGTTAAGCACAGGGACTTCACCTTACATTACAAACTGTTGTACAGTTCACTTACAACTTGGCATTCCACTTGCAGTTTCTTATGTAGTTTATTCAACTACCCAAAAATGTCTGATAAGAAAACCACATCGCATACCCAACATCACTTTCAGTTTCCAACTGTCTGCCTGTTTAGTCCACATGATTTCATATGGTTAACTCTGCTGTTATCATTCATAATTTGTTTCAGTTCTAGCTGTCAATTAGGTTGTATTGATGACTAATGTAATGAGGTATTCAAAGAAACTGAAAGATTCCACATAAAACACACACCTTTAATAATTGCTACATCACAGCTCAGCACTTTATCATGCTATGTTCCTTTGGTCAGCAACACAAGAATATACAAAATACAGCGATTGCAGGTGATGGTTCATTTTATTTGAAGCGCTGATAGCCAGAACTCACAAATCCATGAACAGTCCATTTCCACGTTGGCAAAAGTTCAACAAAACAGTTTTTGCCTGTTTTGGTACAGAAGTAGAACTCTTATGAAGGGAGTAAATAAAAAATACAAAGGAATGACCACAGTACAGTTACATGAGCCAAAGTTTCTTCAGGTGGAAACAATCCCATAAAAATGCATCTAAGGTTGTCTGAATGCAGTTGTAATGAGAATTTATATACTTTCATAGAGTGTCAATATTTGAATCAGGAAATGTTGAAAATCTGTATTTAACCACATCAATTTATGTGGTGTGTACCATTTAGGTCTAGCAACCCACAGGTTGTGCATCTCTGGCATACTCATACAAGAAAAGAGCCATACAACATCAAATATGGGGTTGGATGGGCCCAAATGTCCTCACCAGGAATCAAGCCATTTCTATCTAATCTACTGCATGTTAACATTACTGACCTGATTATTATAGTTTTCCAATGAACTTCTTTTCAAGTTACGTAGGTCATACCGAAAGTCATGAACAACATTTTTTTGCATGCAACCTGGGAACAGCAGATGAAAGAGAGTATGGTGATAGGTGGAACCAGCTGTTGTGTTAACCTTGAGTGTCTTATGACATCGCTAGCTTGCATCACGTGACCAGTATCACTCCTAACAAAATGGCCGACAATGATATGTCGTTTCGCCAGCATGCTGTCATCGAATTTCTTGTGAAAGAGGAAATCCCTACTGCAGAAATTCACCAGAGACTTCAGTGTGCTTATGGAAGTGTGTGCATGGGTGAGAGCAATGTTCGAAGATGGGTGAAATATTTTAAAGATTGGAACACCAGCATTGAAGATGAGCCTCGGAGCGGTCGTCGTCGAACAGTTTCAACTGAACGCAACAAGGAAAGAGTGAATGACATCATTCAAGATGACAGGCATGTGACTGTGGACACAATAGTCTGAAAACTTGGAATAGGGCACAGTGCAGTACAGGAGATGATTGGAAGCTTGGGCTATAGGAAAGTTTGTGCTCGTTGGGTCCCCCGGTTATTGACCNATTGACCGAAGACCACAGAGGTCAGCGAAAATCCATCACCTCAAAACTGCTGCCGAGATATTGAAAAGAAGACGATTTTTTGCTCTGTATTTTGACAGGTGATGAAAGCTGGTTTCACCATTTCAAGCCTGAAACGAAACGGCAGAGTATGGAATGGCACCATTTGCATTCTCCGACAAAAAAGAAGGCAAAGACAGTGCCATCAGCTGCAAAGGTGATGGGCACAGTCTTCTGGGATGCAGAGGGGTTTATTCTGGTCAAATTCCTGGAACCTGGGCAAACCATCAATGCTGCTCATTATGTCCAGATGCTGCACAAACTCCGTTGTGCATTGGGCAATAAACGTCCGGGATGAAACATCATCATCCTGCATGACAATGCTCTCCCCCGTGCCGTTCGCCTCACATTGGAAGCAATTGCAAAGATGGGGTGGGAAGTTCTTCCACACCCCTCCTATAGCCCTGATCTGCCACCCTCCGACTACCATCTTTTCTGATTTGTGAAGGATCAGCTGCATGGACAACGTTTTGAGACAAGGGAGGCAATTCAGGAAGCAGTGTGTCAGTGTCTTCGGATGGCTGGAATGGAATTTTACGGAAGGGGAATTTTCAAACTCCCAGAATGCTGGAAGAAATGTGTACGAAGAAGTGGCAATTATGTGGAAAAATAAAGAAAGGTCTGTAGATTGAGTGGTGTATTTGGTTTGTCAATAATAAAGCATGTTACTTTACAAAAAATTGTTGCTCTTGACTTTAAGTACAACCCTCATATTTGCCTTCCTGTGTTTTGTTCCCAAGTCAGTGCCTTACCTGATTTGTCCTTATCCCATATTGATTTGTGCCCTCTTATGCATGAAGCCAAAATCCAAGGAAAGGGACAGTATAATCACCACAGCAGTGATACTTGTAGTTCCATATAAATCAGGTGTACAAAAATCACATCATACATTAGTAAAAAAACCCCATTTCAGATTTAGAAGGTTCTAGGTTTATATTCCATATTCAGTGAAGTTTCTGTAAATTTGGCTATTATTAATATCTTAGGGGAAAATTTCTCTTCATTCTTATGATTACTATCAGTTAGTCTATGTAGGCATGTTTAACACACATGGATTTCAGTCTTTTTTCCTGCTTTTAAGCTACTCCATGGTGTAACCGTTTTTCTTCGGTTCTGCTAGCTCCGGTACAGCAATTCGATTCCTCTCAGGGCGTGTTGATTGGCCACGACTTGGGTGATTAGTGGGGCTTTAGGCATAGGGAAATCACCACAACACCAATTAACTCTATGGAGTCTTTATTAAATTTGCACTAATTAAATAGAACAGCACCGTAGGGGTACACTTCACAGATTCGTGGATGTAGGCTTACTTACTGTTCTGGGGACGCACACTTAATAGTTACCACAGGGCGTGTTTAC